GTATCTTCTGTTCAAGTTGCCGATCCCATCCGCTGGCCTAATTCACCATGGCGGCTTCTCCAGGTTCCATATTTCTCCCTGATATGTGATGAATTAATTTGAGATTTAGATTTAGAATGTTAATTTGCTGGTATTAATCTGTGTTTCTTAGAAATCTTTGCATCATTCTGTGTTTCTTAGAAATTCGTGGGATGACAGTTTCTGGGGTGAATTTTATGTTAAGATTTTTGCTTCCACTTATTGTTGGCCGATCAAAACAGAGGGTCGCTGATAAGGGAGGTCAGGAGCAGGGAGAAGAAAGGGAAAAGAAGTAAGCGGTATCATTTAAATAGATTTCTTTGCGTTCATCTGTCTTCTTTTTTCTTTTTTTTTTCAAACCTTTAGTCAGTGGTGGGATCCACAAATAAAATTGATACCAGGTATACTTCCCGCCCATTGGGATCCAAGTTGACATGTCAAGTTGTCAAAAAAAGTCTGAGGTGACGTTGACATGTGCATATTTGATGGAGGACAACGGTGGACGTGCTACACGTGACACTCTGACGTTAAATTTTGCCTCATTTCCTCAAACTCGAAAATATTAAGAGCAAAAATTCATGTATTGTAATATAGAGGGTAAAAACCCTCGAATTCAAAAAATTAAGGGGCAAACGAGTACCTTTTGCCCGATGAAGTAAGTGCATTCCGAATGAACAGTCCCTGGGACTCGCTGCGCCGAAACCGGGCTGGACCTAGCAGGTTCAATTTATTTTTCTTTTTCCATTTAGACAAATTAACAAGCATGTAGGAACTTACGCTGCCTTAACTTGTTCTCTTTCTTTTTTTATTATTTTATTATTTTATTTTATTTTTATATTGCCTTAACTTGTTCTTTATTGAATAAAGAATGTATTATTTTAGAAGTCCAAGCAAAACACATATTAAGTGGGTGTTTGGTGCAGCTGGTCGGAAGACCTTTTGAAGTCCAAAAGGTGCAGTTGCACCAAACATCCTAACTTTTGAAATGAGCTTCAGCTCCCGGGAAGCAAAGTTAGCTTCCACCTTCTGAAAATTGAGAAGTAAGGAATTTGAAGCTTTTGTGGGAGCTTCCAGCTTCCAATTAATGAAATTGACATGTTATACCTATTTTACCCTTATATCTTAATAAATTTACTACTAAACCACTATATATACCTCCACATTTATAACCCAAACCCGTTTTTTCTTTAATTCTCATCTTCTCCACCTGCCGATTTCCTCTGTTCCAGTTTTGAAGCCATTGCTTCCATCTCCTTCTTTCGGTCTCTTTTCTTCTTCATTCTTATCCAAAAACTACTTCTGCTTTGCTTATCCCGATCTTGCTGCTGTATTGAAGCCCAATTTTTGACATCAATCCCAGATCTCATCTTCTCCATTTCTCGATTTCCTCTGTTCCAGTTTCGA